CAGTGTGTTCATGTTCAAGATAATCTTAAACAATAAATAGATAATAATTCAATATAAAGTGTGTTTATTTCACTAAAACTAAATCGAAATCTGGCATGAGTTTCTAGCTATTGTTGTTAGTATCTGAGACAATCTGAATAAAAACTAAAAACTTTAATGTATGAAGTATACAAATTCGAAAACTCAATTTGTAGACGTTTGTCAAGGAAACTTTTTTGATTCATGTTTGTAGATTTATCTTTGATGGACAATGATTCGAGTTATGTATTGAGCGGATCTTCATCCGTCAATACAAATGCTACCGTTTAGTTGAAGCATAAGAAGAAGAAATCTGCCACAAATTTTGAATCTAAATATAAAAAATCAACTATTAAGAAGCATTATGGAAAGAAAAAAAGAAAAAAAACTTTTTACGGAACGTTGGCGGAAGCAAAATCTCTTGCAAAAAAATCGCCAACAAAAACTTTTTCATCATTAAAAAAGTAAAAAAAAAATTGTTTCAATATCTGATACTTTTCGTTCCATTAATGTCATATATTGTCTTTTCAAAATATGTTTAGCATTTCTAAAAAGGGAAATACATCTATTACATCACAAATTTTTGATATTAATCATTTTCAAGATATTCTTAACACAGCTCATGTTTGTTATCGTGGTGGTCGATTAGAATTTGTTCCTGATGTATTACCATGTTCTGGATTATTTCAGCACAATATTCTTCGTTGCACTAAATGTGGCAACGAAACACCTTTGACAAATTTTCCAGTAATACACCCGATTAAAACCACACAACAGGAACCAAATAAACGGTTAACATTAGCTGCTGCAACAACTGGTGTTGGATATCGAGCAACAAAGTCAATTATGTCAACATTATCTTTATCAATACAAAGTGAACGTACATTTTTAAAACAATTACACAAATTTTATGATGATATGTATAGTTATGCACAACAACATTTCACATCCATCATAGACAAAATAAAGAGGAGGAGTAAACAGGAAAAGATAATTGATATAACTGTCTCTATTGACGGTACGTGGAAACGTAGAGGCCATGTCTCAAACTATGGATTGGTATTTGTTATTGATGTTCATTCAGGTTTATGTATCGATTTTGAGGTCATGTCACTATTTTGTGAAGCTTGCACCAGAAAAAGATCAATATTATCCGGAACTAAATTCAGAAAATGGTATGAAAAACACCAACCATTTTGTAGTAAAAACTATGATGGAACATCAAAGTCAATGGAAAAAGAAGGAGTAATAAAATTATTTCAAAGATCATTGATAAATGGCCTCCGTTATAAACATATGGTTTGCGATGGTGATGCATCAGCATATGAAGCAATTAAATATTACTATGTTCGACATCAACAACAACAACAACAACATACATCTTTAGAAAAAGGTAAATCAACGTTGATGAATGAAGATAATAATATGAGTTAGGATAAATCACTAGGCACTGAAGATGAAGAACCTAAATCTGAAGATGAAGAACTTGAATCTGAAGGTGAAGAATCTGAACCTGAAGGTGAAGAATCGGAACCTGAAAGTGAAGAATCGGAACCTGAAGGTGAAGAATCGGAACCTGAAGGTGAAGAATCTGAACCTGAAGGCGAAGAATCGGAACTTGAAGGTGAAGAATCTGAACCTGAAGGTGAAGAGTCGGAACCTGAAGGTGAAGAATCGGAACTTGAAGGTGAAGAATCTGAACCTGAAGGTGAAGAGTTGGAACCTGAAGGTGAAGAATCTGAATCTGAAGGTGAAGAAAGTAAAGGTGGTGATAAGTTAAACAGATTAATAGTAATTAAGGAAGATTGTATAAATCACGTTAGTAAAAGGGTGATGAAGTATTTAACTGAACTTAAAAGAGAAAAAACTCGACAAATTTCGGTAACCAAATCAAGTTTTTCATCATTTGATTGGTCATGCGACCAGCTCCACCTCCCCATGGTTTGTTGTCGGTGAGTAGTTGTCGTGTAGCAACATTTTTGTTGGTATTTGA